AAATATAAATCCGTCATACGTCGTCGTCATACTGTTTTTAACCAGTTTTATTGGTTTATTTAAAAAATGACAGATCGTATTTCAATTTTATTGGTTTGACGGAACGATGAACGACAAACGGACGCCGATGCGTATGAACTCGCCTTTAGATTTTTGTCATTTTTGACGCTTGTCAAAGTCTTGCCAAATTATAGGTTATAATTTTGTGTCAACTTTTGTTAAATACCCTGCGTTTTGGAAGATGATGCATTTTGATTCTATTATTACGTGTGTTTTGTGTCTTTTGAAGTCAATTGGAGGAAAAATCGAGTGAAAATTAACTGTAGACCCAGAGCACAGTTTATGGTTAATACTCGCTGCCCAGGCAGAAAGTCTTATACACCAATGAAGTTGCCATCGATAAAGTTTGTACACCATTTCGTCGTAGATAAGTGCATCTCGTATATGGTAGAAGGATCAAACTAAACACATACTAAAAACTGGAGTAGCTGTAAAATATCGACATCACACGATAGGTAAATAATGGATTTTAGTACTGCAGAAAAATAATGTCAAAAGGTACTGGTTTAAAAAAATTAAGATTAAAGTTAATTAATCAACCTTTAAGGTATAAAGTTTGGTAGGTGTTGTTATTAATAAAATAGTTTGTTTTATTTACCTATGTTGTTTTATTTATTCCTGTGGAATATTACAAATTTGTATTTGTACATAAGTTATATTGATAAATATAATCATAAATGCGGGTAGTTTCATAAAGCTTGAGGGTGCAGCCACACTATCCTAAAAACGGCGTATCGGCGTAACGGCGTAATGACCTTGAATCGATTTCCAGTAATTCTATTGGCTAAAATTTTTGACAGATGAATTTGACAGATAAAATTTCTGACAGATGAATGTTTTAGCCAATAGAATTACTGGAAATCCATTCAAGGTCATTACGCCCGTTACGCCGATACGCCGTTTTTAGGATAGTGTGGCTGCACTTAGCTTGAAAGTAAATAATAGTTCTTTTTTATATTTTTTTGGTATGTAGTGTCTTGTTCTTGTTTGTTTTGTATTAACACATACCGTTTTTATTCAATAAAATAACTCGATTACATTTTTTCAGTTTTATACAGTTTTTTTCACAATATTTTGAAGTAATCACTTGTCATCTTGTCAATCAAATTTTAAATATATCCTGCTATGCGTTCCAGTTGTACCAACTTATTTCTTTGTAAAATAAAATAAACTACTTAGAAATTAAAATGACAGACACATCTATCACTGTCAAGGATCTTCTCGTTGGACAGACTATATCCCTAAAAATATTTGCACTTATTTAAGACTCACCCTGTATATTATTGGGTTTGGACTCGCAGTAATCCTATATATTGTATGAGTACAGCAAGATTCAATAAAAATTAAGTTTAATTAATAAATTATTATAGTGACCATAAATATATCTTAGCAATATTAATGTTTTTTATCATTTCGCAAATGATATACACCTTGAATCGTGATACTTAATTACAATTATTTTATTACGAAAACCAGCAATTAACACAAGAAACAATAGAGCTACGCGCACGGTTTCGAGTAAATTAATGCAATGCAGATTTTACGCCATAACTGAACAATTTTAACAACCCTATAAATAGATTACGTTTTTTTCCCGATTTTTCTGACGGAAAAATGGAAACTAAACATTTTTCAAAGCAATATTTTTAACGATCGAATTTGCGTCAATTTACCTCAATACTTCGTTATTCCAATAAAAATATTAATAAGTCATACACAGTATTTTTTATTTAAACCAAAAAGAAACAAATATTTATGTATCGGATGTATAAATACCAAAAAGTCAATAAAAAATTAAGGGTACGTGGGAAACATACCAGTTACTGTTTCCCAAGTTGTACATCCATTGGGAGTTGGAGAAGTAGAATTTTCATTTTGAGGGTGTCCCAAGCTCCTGAACTGACAGTACTGTTCCCAGTACTGTTTCCGTCGATGACCATTTTAATCATTGCCATATTGAGTCACCTCCATTGCTGCTGTCAGGCATATTCTCATGGCATGGTGATGCAGATGCAGGCCAGTATCTGTACTTTGCACAGGTTTTACCTTGCTGTACGTTGCTTTAGTTTTGTTTACCGAGAAACTGTTCCCTAGGTAATCATAGGTCCTACTATCATGGTACACATCCAGCGCAAAATTTTATGGGCGCAGCTTCATCTATTTCCTGCCAGTCTTCTGCATACCATTAGATACTTTGTGGATCGAGAAATGTGGACAGATATAACATTCCTTCAGGACGGACTAACCTAGTATAGAGACGGGTCCAAGAGCGCTGAAGGAACAGGAGCTGGAGTTTTTGGGGAAAGACCAAGGGTAATCAATATATGCACAGACAGGCGACACTTGAGGCGCTTATGAGCCCAAAGGTATCGTCGAGACTCGTCTAGGAATGCCTAGGTGAACTGGGAGCTCTGGCACGAAGGAACAGGATTAAATTATTCTGGGTGCCGGGCCACAGCGGCACAAGCCACCAAAAAAGCTGATGAGGTAGCTAGGCACGGATCATCGGCATCCTATCTTGGTCCAGAGGCAGTACTGGGAATACCCAAAGGTATGGCCCGTAGGGCACTAAAACTCTGGATCAGGAAAAAGCAGAATATCCACTGGAAAAACAGACTGGGGGTAGAGACACAGCAAGGCCTCTGTCCAAGGACCTAGCTCTAAAACCACAAAAGAACAGTTAATGCATAGCATGAACGAAGTGCGGATTACAAAAGACCCATGGCTGTTACCTGAACAAGCTCAACCTGTATCAAGGAAGTCTTTGCTGCAGACTCTGCGATAAAGATCCTGAAACAGCGGAGCACATAATATGTCACTATGAGGCTAGCTGGATCGCAAGCGACACTTTTATTTAGGAAAGCTAGGCTAAAACCGGAGTAAATATGCTCCCATCCTATCAAGGATTAAATATAACTTATTTAGGCTGCAGGGTACAGGGATAGGAGAATGAGTGCAGAAAGGGGACAAACACAATAGGCCTCACAGGTCACAGTGTTCTCGGCAGAGGACGGCCCCTTGTTATTGAAAAAAAAGATCCTTTGTGGCTTTGCTGGTAACGTTCTTCATATAGTATATATTCCATAGAAGTTTTTACTCTCCAGGGCTATTCCCAGATATTTGACTTCTTGTGACGACAGTATTTTATTTCCATCTGGATAGATTCATTTCAAGTTTGTCAGACTGCGCTTTCTGGTGCATGGCACTACCGCGGTTTTGTCTCAGTTGATACTCAGCTCGACAGTCCTGGTCCATCTCTCAGTGATGCGGAGTCCTTTTTGGATAATATTACATAGGGTGCCTTCACTTTTCTCCAGGGGGATCGTGACTGTGTCGTCTACATACCCTATGCACTGTATTCCCACTAGAGTTAATTTTTTTAGGAGTTCATCCAATACCAAGGTTCACAGTAGGGGGAAGATTACTCAGCCTTGTGGAGTTCCTTGCATTGTTTTAACTGCTACAATTTTGGTACGCATCTGATGAGCATCTACTGTCCGTATTCAGAGCTATTTCCAAAAGCAGCGAATTATTGTTCTGTTCACCCTTCTTGTTTCTAGAGATCACTTGACCACCTTGCGAGGTATATTCTCAAACGCCCCCGCATTGTCCAAGACGGCACAAATTTCTGGTTCTTTGCTATCCAGGCTTGCATGTCTTTTTCCTCTTGTTTCTCCATGACCACGCGTATTTCGACGGCTAGTCAATTGCCGGACCCTGTACAATATGGCTGTTAGATTTACACTTGAAAAAAAATTTTTCTCGCTTCTTTAGAAAATACCTTAATGTTTTGTTTCGAGTGACACATTTGTATCTCAACTGTAGTTAAGGCGCTTTTTTGTTCAACTGGGGAGTATACTATTTTGAGTATACAAAAAAATAAAAGATACCTCTCTGATGGTAAATCATGATTGACAAACACTGAAAGGTTCTATTGAAAAACGTTTTTCTTGTGTATAATACTTATTATATTTTATGAATGTCGTCTACTATATTATTAAATTATTTGAAAAAATGATAAAATAAAGATTCAATGTAAAACAAAGGTTTACTTTAATTAATATCGACTAATTGTAAGTATAACTGCTATTTAGACGAAATGCCTCCATAGATCTTTAATATTATATTAAATTTTTATATCTCTCCTAATTAGTATTTTCTGTTTATACCAATCTAAGTACATAAATCTGGGTAGACGCATTCTGTTGTTGCTATTTATTATTGATATAAACTAGGCAATTAAATATACCACATGTGAATCTAAACAAAACAAAATAAAGGGGAGTGTTTTTAATTATACTATTTTTCTATTAGCAATACATGTGTTTTATGTCTTATGAATACAAAAATATTTATTAGATGATCATATATAATTTTTACTTGTAGTAAAGCTCACATAATTATGTTTTGTCGTGACTTTTTGACTGGGAATATATTTACCGAGATATTTACATAGGTATTTTTTATTATAATTTTTTCTTTTGTTTAAGACAAATAAATTTTATCTGTTTGTATTTCTGAAATCGGTGTAATATTTTCTTTTTTAATGTTACATTTTTATACATTTTGTTTACATCTCCTTTGTTGTTTGTCTTCAGACAAATTTCAAATTAGACCTAGTTCATCTGGTGTAACTTTTTTGAATATGGAAAAAGAATACAATCTATTAAAGGAATCAAGATCTGATTTTTTGACGCGAATAAAGTTTATTTATTAGTTATATGTTTATGTAAAATAATTAACATCAATCTGGGATATAAAAAAACGTAAGAGAAATGTATCCAGGAATGAAAAAAAATACATTCAATTTTATTTTAATCTTTGGCCAAAAATATTTAGGACACTTTAACAAAGTAAAATAATTATTAAGGCAATTAAAGAAAATTATCCATTGATTTTTAAATTATTTCTCCTGTAATTATAATACATAATGTACTTACTTGATTCAGAGCCTATACGTTAATCCCTGTCTTGTCTCCCTTTTAAAAGTCCTTTATAAATGGCACCACCTAAAATAACAACAATTCAACGTTAAAAATAAATTATTACAATAGTATATTTATTCTCTACAAACAAAAATGTAACTAAAAAATCTTAAAAGTTCTAAAATCGGTATACACTGTCCAATTCATTCGGAAGCTTGGAATCCAAGAAAACAGGCCTTCAAATAAAAAATTTTGGAATGAAATTTTTGTTTTGGAGAATAATATTGGCTTTTCAAATAAAAAAAAAACTTAGTTTTATAGGTTAAAGGTTCATAGAAAGGATAAGAATAGCGGTTGCAATTTATGACCTATGTAGTATTACAAAATTAAAGTATTACATGTTTGTACTTTTTAAAAGAATGACCAGTAACCAGTAACTTTCTCTCTCTCTCTCTCTCTCTCTCTTCCATATTTTATATTATCTAGAATATTTCAATTTCTCTCTAACTACATATTCTTGTCTTGATTGTTTAAAGTTTTTTTTCTCATAAAAAAACATCTGAAATTTGCCAAAACTTATATTATTTGTTTCTTGTTATATAAGTAGTAATAGAAAAAAAAATAGTGTTCCTAAGTGAATAACAAATCAAGGTTAGGCACATTCAAATTCGATTTGTCTTCCAAATTTTGTACCGCAAGCAAATTTTGAATTTGTATTCCGTACTAACAGCTATTCCAGAGTGTATTCAGAATGCAAACTCGACCAGGAACACGTCTAAAAAAGAACAAACTGTCTAAAACATGCCCTGAAAACTATTTTCCATCTGTAAAAATATCGCCAAAACCCCTTCAGTTTTTTGTAGATTAGAGTCCGAATATACAAAAATTTTCATACAATTTTTTTCTTTCTATTATAAAGGGTGATGCGTCTGCGATATAAGTTCATTAACTCGCTAGTTTTTAGAATTACAAAACATGTAAAATCGAAAAGTTTTAGAGAATGCGTAAAGATACACAATTCAAAATTATTTTGAGTATACAAGGTGTTTCATAAAAAATGTGTCTTCTCTCGTGGGGAGATTCCTCACGTAAAACACGTAAAGATTTATCTTATGTATCAAAATAGGTACGTCCGATTCTGCGCTGTTTCTTAGCTACAGGGGGTTTAAAATGCCAATTCTTATCTTTCTTGAATAATTTCACTTAGTAAGCCAAGGAAACAAGTTCAATCGTCGTCGCACTCAGAAATGTGAAACTGTCTTATCCAAACTTTGAAAATTAAAATAAACAAAAATTGTAAATATGAATTTTTTAAATGAAGTAAAGCGGGTAGGATTGGTTCAACTTTTGGTGAACGTTACTTACGTTTTTTAGAGAACGGTCCCAAGACATGTTAGAAAAGTTAAATTTAGATACTCGCGCATTAATAGGGTGGTTCCCACATAACTTTTATTATGACACACCATCACCTTCTCACAATGAAAGAAATATTAAAAATTATTTATATCATAATTATGTAGGCTTAGGGATAGAAAGAGGTGGACCAATTGCATGGGCCCCCTCTATCACCTGACCTATCTATTTTATTTTTTTTATGCGGTATAGTTAATAACAAGGTTTACTAAAGAACTTATGAATTAAGAGAGTGAGAATGTTAATTCTGTGAGAATAGCTAGAAATTCAGTTTTAAAAAGTTGCGTGTATGTACTCATAATGGCGGATTTTTTGAACATTGTCTAAAAAAAATTAAAGTGTATGTAGTGATTTTTTTTTATTTTTTTATTTTTTTTTTCTGGCATCGATCACCAGGATCATTAGCCATATACAACTCGTATGTTAATAATGCAATTACCGGGATCTATCTCAATATCCTCAAAGGGTTCACTCTTACAATCCTTTGAGGATATTGAGATAGATCCCTAGTGATAGTGATATTATTTCTTTAAGTTTTAGTTTGTGCAATGTAAATTGTAAAGAGCAGTTTAATAATATAACAATATATTTTGACATTTTATAAGTTATAAATCATAATAAAATATGAATACCATGCCAACTAAGTGAAATTAGTGAAGAAAGATAAGAATTGGCTATAACTCAGTAATTTTGTAAAAAAAAACATATTAAGTATTGCTTATATCACTAAAAAGTTTTAAAAATGGCGCTTTTTATGAAGTCATTGCCAACTATGGTTTCCATTTAAAAAAAAACATATGTTTGTGTCATATGTCAAAAATGACAGGCTTATGTCATATGTCAAAAATGACAGACAAAAAAAATCGGAGAACACAAACTCATTAGGGATGCGATTATCTACAACTTTTATCTGAAAACTTTTGTCTAAAATAGATTATAATGGAATTAGGGATAATTTTTAAAATAGCCAAAATTTTTTTATTTTTAGTATCTATTCTATTATCTAGTAAGCCATGAACTTTTTAAAAAATCTGAAAGGCGCATATTTATGACCCCACAAAACAGCAATTCTTTCCTCATTTAACCGACTATCTATCTTCAGTAGTTTCCGAGATACCCATAGAGAACATCGTAGGAAACTTACCCTGTATTTTAGTACATGATATTTTGAACCCAGGTGAGGATACCTCTCGTCAAAATCATGGTACAATTAAAATGCTTACCTGCATTTTAAGTAAAAAATATGTTAATATAGTCGTTAATAAACAAAGTCTTGAATTTTTTGTATTAAATATGGTCATTATTATACCTCTACAATTGTTTTTGTATAATAGTTCAATAAATAAGAATGTAATTTTCCAATATTCTTTAATCTACAGTATGTCCCCGGATTGTCTTTACAAGAGGAAAAACTTTTTTATTTTTGACATTTTGGGAAAAAATGCACTCTTCATAAAATTTTTTGCTTATTCGAAAATAGTTAATCCCGTTTATACTTTTCCAAATTTCCGTATCAATTTAGAAAAAATTAAAAAAAAACATGAAAATACGGTTTAAGTCCTAAAAATCAAAATGCGTTTCTATGGTAATAACATTTTAATTTCATTCTTTAGTAGATGGTTATTATTAATTTTGATTAATGTCATATTTTTTGCTGTTGTTGAAGTACCACATTTTCCGATAAGTATTATCACCCTTTCCGCAGCATCGAACTAAATAAATTTTGTGCTTCTTTTACATTTTAAAACAGCAAAAAATATTACGTTAAAATTCTAACAATAAAAATCTATCAAAAAATGAAAACGATATTATATTACCATAGAAACGCGTTTTAATTTTAAGGACTTAAGCTTGATTTTCATGCATCCGTTAAGGTTGATTTTCATGCATCCGTTATACGTTGATACGATGGTCCGACGATTGGTCATAGCGTTTTCGGTCATAGCGTTTTCGCGCCACTTTTCATCCGTAAATATTTTACTTCAGCCCGTCAACGGACCCGTTCATACGATAACGGACGTTTTGACACTTTGTTGACAAATTTAATTTAACCTTAATAAAAATATAAGGAAAATAGCAAAATCGTTATGAAAACGAAAATATAATATAACACCAACGTATATCCGATAAACGGAGGCATGAAAATGCAATAAATTTAAAAACTGCGTTATTTTCTAACCAATCAAATTCTTTAAATTCTACCAATAAAATTAATATCGTATCAACGTATCGTCGGACAACGGATGCATGAAAATCAAGCTTTATACGTTGGTACGTTGGTCCGACGGTGCTCTGATTGGTCATTTCATCCGTAAATATTTTACTTCAGCCCGTCAATGGACGCGTTCATACGATAACGGACGTTTTGACACTTTTATGACAAATTTAATCTAACCTTAATAAAATTATAAGTAAAATAGCAAAATCGTTATGGAAACGAAAATATAAAATAACACCAACGACAACGTATATCCGATAAACCGAGGCATGAAAATTCAATAAATTTAAAAACTGCGTTATTTTCTAACTAATCAAAGTCTTTCAATTCTCCCAATAAAATTAATATCGTATCAACGTATCGTCGGACAACGGATGCATGAAAATCAAGCTTTAAACAAAAAATTTTTTATACAAAATTTTAGGAAAAAAAGTCAACCGTATTTTCATATTTTTTTTTTTAATTTTCCCTGAAACCGTAAAAAATTTGGAAAAGTATAAACGGTATTAACCATTTTAGAACAAACAAAAATTTTTATGAAGAAATTATGTTTTGCTTTTTCCTCAAAATGTTAATAATAAAAAAGTTTTTTTTTCCTCTTGTAAAGACAATCCGGGAACATACTGTAGTATATGTGTAAGAAAATTCATATGCAGCCTTTGTGAAAAATATTTTTTTCTTAAATTTTCCAAGCAGCATGCTATGAAAATGATACCTACTACATAATAATTTTCGAACGTAAAATTAAATTTGAAATTAGCAACACCACACTATAAAGTTTAATTAAAACCTTACAAGACTATGGTGTATATTCAAACTTAGTTAAAGTTGATAATTAAAGCTAGCTTAAACAACAAAGGGTTGCTGTACTATTATTAGACGAAGTTTTCAAGTAAGGTAAATAAAGGTAGTATTTACCTGTTTGAGATGTTACAGTAGAAGTAATTAGGTACATTTATCGAAAAGAATCGAAAGCCAAAGTGTTTGTAATTTGGGTCAAGTTACGGTGTTTCTTTCTTCAATGTTTAATTTTACTATCGTCTATATTATGACGAAAATACTTTTCGAAAGTTTTATGGTAGGTTCGGGTTAACAGGGTAAGAATGTTCCAAAATACCGATATATTAGAATATCGATGCAAAAAATATTGGACGAGTGTCCGCCAAAAACTCGGTATCAAATGAGATTTTCTTATAACTAAAGAGAAGTAAAAATTAAGCAACGCATTTTTTCCATAGTCTAGACAAAGTTAATAGTTGCACAACTGGGTTTATCCGTCAAATTTGTTATTTCTTTATGTATTAAGAATATTTCTTTAGTGATCCTTATTAACATTTTGAAAAGTATTGTATGAAATAAAAGTATTGTATGAATGTGTACCAGTAAAATTTTATCACTGTAAAATAATTTGTATTTTTCAATGCCGTGAATTAGTTTTTATTTTGCTTTTGTA